AAAAAAAAAAAATAAATATTTATAAAAATATTTACATAAGAAATTAAGTAATTAGGTAAAAAATTTTCAATTACCTCCTTGTTTATTGTAAGATGGCGGAGGTTCATTATAACCACCGCTTTTGGGTGCCATTTGCTGAAAATTTGGTGGGGGGACAGAAAAATTATTATAGCCGCCACTGCCGCCGCCGCTATTTCCACCACCATAACCACCGCCACCTAAATATTTTAACACATTAGCACAAAAATACTTCTTCTATAATCACATCACTTACGGTCCATTTCGTTTAATTTATTAAAAAAATGTTTATGCAAACCTACGAAAAATAAAAATTGCACTTTTTAGCACGAACCACGCTCAGCAAATATATTATAGGAAATGCGCGTCGATGACAAAAGTAACCAAACTTCCCTTCAAAGCGAAGCATAAATTACCCTATATAAACGACGAGATGTGTTTTCTGTTGTATGGATAAGTTTTGTTTCTTTAAAATTTTGTTAATATGTGTTAGAAAATTGAAATTTTTATTATAAATGGTATAATAAAAGAAATCATTTAACTGTTGTTCTAATAATTTTATTTTCATAATATATAAATAACATATTTTTATTTTATTATTTTATATTTTTAACACACTTCTAATAATTGCTAAGCAGTAAACAGCAAATATAACGTATATAGAAAGTAGAATTGGTTATAAACATAAATAAGTTATTTTTTACTTAAAATTTACTTAAAATTATTTTTAACATTTAATAAAAATGAATTTATTTTATTGATGCTACAGCTGTGCTCTTTATATATAGCACATATAATTTTATTATTACTATTTATTTATTTATTATTATCATTATTTATTTTATTTATTTTTTATAAATTAAATATTAAAAAAAAAATTTGCTTGTTAATAAATTTAGTTATATCATATGTGATAGCTTCGGAAAGATTTAACAAATATCTAATTGTGTTCACAATTTTTTGTAAGTACTTGTGTTCTATTTGACACATTAACCTTAGGAAAACGGTTACTATTGTCACATGTCACAGTTGCTGATATACTATTTGGTGTCAGCAGTTTAGATCGCTTATGTATTTGAAAACTGGTAGAATCGTTATATTATATACACACTATCATATAACTACAGTTTATTACTTAACACAAAAATGAAAAGATTGTTTTTCTAACAAATATAATTTGTTTATAATTATATTCCGCATATTACTTCTCATCTTGCATGATGATAAATATGCATTCGTAATTAATCTATTCACGATTTTTTTTTTGCTTAAATTGCTAAATGCTAATAGTGCAAGATTACGTTTTTTAATTTTTAATATAATTTACTGAAACTTTAAAATCCACCCCCATATAAATTATTAGATACACATTTAACACTTTAGCAATTTAGCACATGTTTTTTATGCAAATGTGTGTAACATTATTCAGTATATTAGAGATCTTTGATAATCCATTAGATATTTTTTTGTTTGTTTGTGTTCTTGTAGTTTTCTTAAAATTTTTAAAACGCTAGTAATACAGACCTGTAAATAAAATCATAGACGAACCCAATTATTAATTGTAATTCATAAATTTTATGCAGATTTGGTTATCTTAAAAAATAATAATTCAATCTAAATTTGTAATTCGCTTAGAAATTCCTATTAAACACTTACAACACTGTTCATAAAATACTGGGAAAAATAAAGTCATTCACAATAAGTAAGCGCAAATCAAAATAACAGCTGATCGTAATTTGTTTACATGCCAAAGTGCGAATATGTAGAGCAAATTAATTAAAATGAGCGTTAAAATATTCCTGCCAGAGCATCTTTTTTATACGAAACATGAGCATGACATTTTTGGAGAAATACAAATAAATGAAAATAATTCAGTTTCTTACTATGTGATATGCACCGAAAACAAAAGTAACTTACGTCTTCTTGGGCACATTTTAAGTGTCGGCAGCAACGCGACAAATTTGAAATTACGCGATGTTTCGCTAAGTTTTACATTTGACCCAGAAACGCCAAATATTTATTTGAATAAACTAAGTATTAAACCACCGAACGCAACGCATGTTAATGTCTTCCTGTACAATGCACGCAAACTATTGCAGTTGTGCACAACAATGCCAAAGGATGAATACGATGTCGTGTTTCTATATCACTTACTGCAGGAAAACCAAAGTACAACAGCTAAGAGGCGCACCTTTAGTCAGTTTGTATTAAAAGGACTTAACTTTCCCATGGAACTTATGACACAAATATTTATTTTTATAATGGAACTGAAGCCAGTGTCAATGTTATTGCACAATATTGCATTCTACAAACACTTCCGTGAATGGAGCAAGTTCCGATCTTCAGGGTAAATCTGTGCATTAAATAAACGATTTCTTTATTTGATTTTCTTTCTATTCACAGGAAACGAAACGTAAATATAACCTTTGACAAAATATTGGGCATTTACGTGATGCTCCTGTTACTCATTTTTCTGCCCCAACCAGGAAATTATCTAAAGAGAGCTTCACAGGTAGAATCTACTATAAAATAAACTATTTGTACTATTTTTATATACTCCAACGTCGTTTTTAGTTTGTGATAGGCCACGTGAGACTTTTAATCAATTCCTTAAAAGGTAATCCGATTGGTTTAAAATTGAACGTTCATTTGAATAATTTCTTTCTGGACTGTTGTGATTACCACATTGACTTGTGGGAAAAGTCATTAGGTGAAGCAATTACTTGTAAAACAATTGTGTAATGTTTAATTTTAATGATTAATTTCCGAACAGAATTGATTGAACCAATAATAAAGAAGTTGTTTTTGCCGATTGCCTTACTTGGATCCATGGGACTGTCCTTTCAGCTAGCATTGTTTGCAGATCTAATATCGGTTATGGGTTTACATGCGCACTGCTTTTATATTTACACTGCTGTGTATGTACTCTTTAATTAATTTTACAATAATAATATAACAAAGTTTTTTTCTAATTTTATAGTTTATATAGAATAGAGATAAAGGGACTACAAAGCTTGTGGAAAGTTATGTTGGGAAAGCGCTACAACCGTTTAAAAAGTATACACACTGTCTTTGAAATTACAATTATTTCTAAAGCCATTTTCTTCAATTTGCAGATCGTGTGGAGTCTCACAATTATATAAATCGCCAATTGTACTTGGCCACAATACTTTTTACATCGCAGTTATTTTTGTTTCCAACTATACTGGTTTATTACACAGTTTTTACAACGGTATGCACTATATATATTTCTTTGTATATATAAAATGTCTAAATTAATTAGTATTTCTTGAATACTATAAAACGTATAAGCTTAAATGAACGGAATGTCCAACTGTTGGTGTGTGTACGAAGTCCATCCTGTCAAAATAATTAATTTTAGTCGAATTTAAGTTATTAACATTTAATAGCAACTCTAGACGCATATTATTTAGGGTAATCGTCATACATAATCTTAGGAAAAGAAATGAGTTGTGTTAAATAACGTTTTTATAATGTCTAGAAATTAGGTCGTTGTTAAGGTTCTTTATAAATTAAGCATATTAAATCAATATTATCTGTTAGGAATTCACTGTTTACTTTACTTTAATATTAGTGGTGAATTAAAATAGATTCGGTCGTCTATAGTACTTGGTAGATAAGCTTATGCTACAATCAGTTAATGCAACCACAATTGTTTAAATTTATTAATAAATATTTGCTCTCACTTAGGTACGATTATGTATATATTTATTTAATCTGCTGTTGATAAGAACTCGTCGCCACATACTTGAATTTCCTTTAGAGACGCTTTTCAAATATCTAACACGGCGTTTTTATGAAGTCGGTAAGTGAAATTAAAATAAAAAGAAGACAATCATTGGAGTTGATTAAAATTCGCAATAATTTTTTATTTTACAGAAAGCATACATATGCAGCATTTACAACACGAACCGTCACCATTATTGGAACCTGAATCAACTCACATGGAAATGTGTGTTTTTCAAATAAATGTGCTATCGTCTTCCTTGGGCCGTGTATTTTCATGCAAAAGTGGAGTCCTGAAAGAATTAACATCAGTTGAACATAATACTTTGAAAAATATATTTAATGGTATATTAGAGGGAAAATTTTAATAAGTATTTACAAAAAAAAAAAAAAGTAAAAAAATAAAAACGTTTACAAGTATTAAAAATCATTGTGTATTATATTATTAATATTAAAAAAATGAAACTTTTAAATTATGTCATTATGTCTATTGAAACCAAAAACGACATGCATAAAATATATTTTTACTTAGTACCCACTCGACTTACTATTTTACATAGAACTTTGTTTTGAATGAAATTGGAAAGTTTTGCTTGGTTCAGGTAGATATAAACTTAATTTAAATATAATTATCCTTAGAGGTAAGCTTAATTACTATACCGTCGTTCGATTTGCGTCGCCACCTAGCTTTTGCACGAACTGAAATGGAAACAACAATAGAATATATATTATCATAAATGAATAAGATTTCATAAAAAATTTTTATCGTGTATTCATGTAATCTTATGTAAATAAATTTATATTGAGTTTGTATTTTCCTCAAAATTTATACGTTTTAAATAAAACCTAGCCAAACATAAGCAAATAATTCACAATAGTAAAATTTAAATCTATTACATTTACTGACGTTTTGCTTTCGGCTGTCGTTGACAGGCAGCAGTAGGTAGAAAGAGCAGAAACGTTTTCCCGAGATTTGCAATCCACTACGGACGTATTTTGGAATTACGTTAAGGAATAATAATGTCTGGTTACATTGCTAGGAAAGGTCCCATGGTTTTCTGTAAGTTTTTTACTATAGGTACATTTTTATTAAAAAATTTTTAACGCATATGAATTAATCGCGATTTAACATTTTATTTAGTTGTTACGTAAATTTTCCTCATAATAAAATTTACTTAATAGTTTATTTATTTTATTTGTAGCCAATCTTGGACGATGGGCTTACAATCTTTCTGGATTCAATCAATATGGTATGTGCAAAGTAAAAAATTGTGAAAAATATACTCATGGATGTTATTTGAAGGTTTGCACCGTGACGATTGCCTGTATGAAGATGACGATGTGAAAGAGGCCATCCGTCGTTTACCACGTAAATTATATGATGAACGTAACTATCGCATTCTGCGTGCATTGCACTTGTCTATGACAAAAACTATTTTGCCGAAGGAGCAATGGACTAAATACGAGGAAGATGTCAAATATTTGGAACCATATTTAAATGAGGTCGTAAAGGAACGTGAAGAGCGTGAGGATTGGAACAAGGTTCACTAAGTGGTCAACTAAATGTTTAAATTAAATTACGCTTTTATTATTAAAATCAAACTAGTTAAACTTATACGGCAAAAACCAACAAATAAAGTTAGTTTAATTTAATCTTATATTGCTGTTATTTTGGAAGTTATGATGGTAGTATCCCTTTCATATAATTAATTCATTACTTTTTTTTTTAATTACTTTATGTGAGTCTAATAGTAAGTGCAATTAAGCGTATTCTTCAAAGCTGAGTAAGAGTTATTACAACACCAAAATCTATTGGTAAGAGTACTAGGATATATAGCAACAGCTTAATGTGAAAAACCGATATCTTGTAAAATATGTGGTATAAAAGTCAAAATGTTTAAAATATCTAAAATTGTAATCGTTTCTTCACACAAATTATTTTGGAGTTGCAAATGCTGATTTTTTATTTGCCAATATTGTTACTAAACATGGTTCACGTCTGCAAGTTTGTTGAGAAATGTACATTTTCCTGAATTCTTAAACTATCATAAGTGATATAGAAGTGAAATATCACATAACTGAATTTTCTTAATGTTCTAGTAAAAGTAAACGTTCGACTTATAGTAATGGAATCAAACTTGATGGTCTTCAAATTTTGCGGCATTGAAAAACTGTTCTCTTAAACCGTCTACAAGTATCATGCATAGAATTATATCCAAATTTTACATATTGTAAACTGAGAGCTTAACACAATAAGTGAATGAATAAAAATCACACAATATTAGTAATATATGCAAATATGCAATGCAAATTTGTACATTTCAAAAGCTCTAGTCTACGTCTTGGAACTACAAGACACCACCAACCAAATACCGCTTATACTATTCATCAGAATTACTTTAATCGTAAAGAAGCGGGTTTTCATAAAAATAAAGCATTTACTATATATAAGCTATACTAAAAGAACAGTGTTAAGTAGTAGTCCACACATGGTGTAGTTATTGGCAAAATATTTTGTATTTCATCAGACTAGTTAGCGACTTAATGATATACATTAATCGCTGATTCACTCTCACTTTATTGTTCGAATATTATTAAATAGGTTCTAGGTTTAAAAATAGTAGATATTTTGAGCTAAAAACTGAATCTAAGTGAACAGAAGACCTTTCCAATTGAGGTCATTATGTCTCCTGCTATTCATCAATAGATCAAACAAGAGTGTGCGATGTATGCTTAATATACTTTTTTTGGTTTAAATTAGAGCCGAACAGTCATAAAGAATGAAACTAAAAATCTCGTCTTCAGCTATGCAGAGATGACATTTTTTTCACCTTAAAGAAACTCATCTCGTTGAGATGATTCCATAGGTTAAGATTTTACGTCAGTAATCTGCCTGTAACCTCAGCTTAGAAAGTTAAAATATCAGTAATCTTAAGTTTGTTATAACACTTAAACTGTATTGGATTAACACAGTTAGATGTTTGTTTGTCCTGGAACGATATCAAGCGAAAATACTACTAAAGAAAACGATTATGTTAATACAAACATATATATATAAAAAATAATGGGATAATTCAGGAAAAAGGTTCTAGAAAAATGTTAAAGATATAGATTTGGTAGTGTACGAGTTTGATCAGAAAACATTACATTATATGAACTACTTCATCCAAAGCAGGATGAAGTAGTAGCAACAAAGATTACACTGGATGAAACTGATAAGTACTAAAGTTTAATAGGTTAATTACTATTAATTATTAAACCAAAAACATTTTTTAATCGACCTATATTAAACCTATAGATATATAAATATATAAAAAACCATAATTAATATGAACTTTATAGAAAAACAACATATTCAATAACTATACAAAATTATTCTAAAGAATGTTATTGCTCTCTTTTGAATTTCATAATACAACAGAATAGCACTTCCTATGTGATTTTGTATAAATAAAATATATGAAATAAAAACTAATACTAAACAAAACGATTTTAGTCTTTACTTAAATTTTCTTATTAGAAATTTTTACCTAAACAGCTTAGTTAAACAAATATATGCTAACGTATAGCAAAAAAATGCAGTTTACATACCTTTTGCATAAATGGCGCGTTGAGTATTGATCCTAAAATTGGTATGCGTCCGAGAAAATTGATAGCAACAGGAAAGAATCCGCTAAAACCAAATAATTTGTTAATTCATTATTAAAAAATCTGTAGTGCATACTTACCTAAACAAAGCAAAGAACCCATAAGACTCGATAATCATACCAATTATAGGAAATCCAAGTAGCACAACAGTGATTCCACCGAAAAATGCTGTTGTACCTTTTATTTTATGTCTCTGAAAGAAAAATCTGAATGTTCTTTCGACGCCAATCACACAGCCCAAACCGCACAGAAATAATATCTAAAAAAAATTAATTGCTTACAAATTGTTTATAAAAAACTTTTTTAACAGTATTGCTTACATTTCCAATTGCTAGCAAACCTTTATCGAATAAAAATAGCACTCCTAAAAACAGAAACGAAACGCCAAAACCCGCCAGGCCAATGCCAATTTCTGTAAATATATAAATATAAAAATTAAAATGAATTCGTGCTAATTAATTATTAACTCACTTTGTAAGTCTGTCACTTCAATCATTTTATTTTTTTTCTTTTTGGTTTACTTCTACTTTAAATATTCATACAAATATTCCTTATTTACAGCTTAAAAACAAATTTCACAAAATCTGCTTGTATTCCACGTATTTATTTAAATTTTTTTTATAAACAGCTGTTTACTGTCATTTCATTTGCCTGCACTTTTTTGACCAAAGGATACTTGTATAAATAATCTTTGTTTTTGACAACCAAAATGTAATAGATTATCAATTTCTGCTGGTCATTTTCAAATTTTATTAATTTTTATTAAGAATTTGACAATAACAAGCAATTAACAATTATAGAAAATTATTTGAATCAAGTATTTTTTGGATTATCATCCAAATTATTTACTTTTTTTTCCATTTTTTTGTGGACTCATAATTTTGTAACTTTATAAACAAATCTCGTCATGTTAGTTAAATATATAAAATGATTTTGTTGATTCATTATAGTTTCAACATTCTGGGAACCATTAAATTTAATTGTCAATAAATAAAATACCATGCTAAAATAATAGTCAATGAAATACTCGAATGAAATACTCATAATCAATAAATCCTAAACAAAATAATTTCCTAAACAAAAATGGTAATGACATGGATTTAAATGCTGCGTAACACTGCCTGCACATGGTCACGTCTTCGCCATCGATCTATAACATTAAGAGAGGTTATTGGTATTTAGAGACTCCTTATTCATTATTAAATATTACTTTGAGGACACTTAGGTGGAAGAATCATTGTCCCATATTCCCTATTACAAAATAGGGAAATTTCATGACTTAGACCAATAGGTTTTGAATTGGATCTGTCTGAGGAACGTAACTACGGTATAGACAATCCTTCTATAATACGGTTAATGCGTATCCTACAAAATGTCGTGCTGTATGAGACCCAAAAGCCCTGAAGTGTGATACATAGTATAGTTGCATTTATTCAGAACTTATTGTGTATAAATTAAATATAGAGATTTGTTCTTTTTATTTAAATATATATTTTTTTGAACAACTTAATTTTTATTAATAGTATTAAACAAAGTCATAACTCAAGACCAAGAAACACCTAGTTTTGTTAATAAATATGAAGAATAAATAATAATAATATTTGGCAAATAACTAGCCAAATACAAAATATGATCCAATGATTTTTTTATTATTTAAAAGAAAAAGATACTTTAGTTATCACAATCAACATTAAACTTAGATCTATAAACTGGTTCAATAAATATATTTTTATAAGTCAAACAAGTAATTTTGAAGCAGATCAATTTTATTACAAAGGCTCTATTCTGTTTTTATCTAAATAAAATAATGCCAATATTGGCATAATTGACTATTATTTTGCACTTAATAGTTAATAGTATTTATTTGATATTTTGCATAATGAAAGAGATACTGAACATTGCTGTTTTGTATACTTTCCTATAGTTTTGATAAACATTCTATTTTTCTTACAATTCTTTAAGCAGACTTATTTGCTACACAAATTGCAGTTCTACTTCCAATTGTGTCGTCCATGCCTATTCATGTCGTAATACACACATCAATTTGAGACTAATTGACTTTTAGCTTTATTCAATTAAAATCACGGCGTTTCTGTACCTTGGCCCACATTAGCTTCAAATAAAATCTCAAACATTCCCCTTCTCTTTCACAATTCCTTCATAGAACGACATCGTACGTAACCCATGTATTCGCATTTAAATATACATACATACGTATATTTGTTCAGGTTATGTGACATAGATCCTAGATCTTTAAAGGCTATATTAAAGCTTGAAAGTTTTGAAACCTTAATAATAAAATATAACTAGTTATATTAGAAATACCTAATAAACATCATAAAAAATTTTAGTTGTATGTCTATTAATCAGATTATCACTAGTAGTTAGTGATAATTATATTTTTAATAAATGCAATTACTAAATTTTTTAAATTATATCATATTTTTTTCTAATGAAAAGATATTTATCTGATAGCTTAATTAATTAAAAAATTTATAAAACCATCAAGCTTTACTGTTAAATTAGCAAATATTAAAATGATATTAAAAATACATTATAAAAATAAGAGAAAAAAGAACATATTTTATTACTACACAGGTATTAAGTTTATTAGTATATATGTATTCAAGTCTATTTGTTGGTAAATGAAAGATTCATCAGATTATCACAACTTTTATCACATTGTTTTAGTAAAAAGAATTGACCAACTTTTTAAGTTGTTTTATCACAATTTCTAATCAAAATAATTTATCTTATACTTATTATAAAAATAATATAGTATTAAGTATAGTAAGTTAAAAATTTAACACTAAAAGGAAATTAGAATTCTCGTCGATGATATTTGTCTGGTTCAAAATATGAAGTCACTACAACTCGATTACTAAATCTGCGTCCTGTTAACGCTTGCTGCGCTTTCTGACAGTCAAGTATAGAGTTGAATTCTACGAACACTTTACCGCAACCAGGCACATCTACACCTCTAATTGGACGTGGAATTTCGATACTGCGTACAACTCCATATTTATTGCACTCGTCCTTGATATCTTCTAAGATATCTTCGTATTCTTCCTCATCACGTAGCTCGTCAGGTGTCACCATATTAAACAGGCATAAAATTTCAGTAGATGGTCCAGCATTGATTACAGTTGTCAAGCCTGGAACCTATAAATTTAAACATATGAAAATATACACATAAATTTTACTCTCAAATTCTGCTTAACGACCTGTAAAGTTACGGGAGCAGCTAGAATGTTAAGCGCAGCGTTTCTAGCACCTACGCTAGCACGTTGAACAATTAGTTTTTTGTCTCCCAATTGCATACCATTTAAACCAGCGATTGCCTTTTATAAGAAATTTGTTTAGCACTTAATAGTTGAATTAAATTTTAACTTTTATTTACTTGATCAGTTACGTTTAAATCCGCATATTCACAGAAGGCATAACCCTTACTTAATCCAGTTGCGGAATCTTTAACTAAATTAAATGCGCGCAGATAGCCAAAGGATAGTAAAAGTTCCTTAACCTGTGAAATATAAAAACTAAAGTGTTATTTATTGAATCTCAATAAGATGGCATTGAAAATATGTTCGTTACACTCTTTCCAGTAATTTTTAAAATTAGATATATTTGATATAGGCAGATTAGCTGCATGCAGCCATAGTTAAATCGTACCTGAGTTGATCGTTACTGGAATAAGCGACAAAAAAACGAACACATTTGCCTTTCGTTTTCTAAATCAGGTTTCTTATATGCTAAAGTCTTTTGGAACTCCTTATATTAATATATATTGAGCTTAAATTAATTTAATTATTTGTAGAATGGAACTTGCCTGCTAAATAAACTGCTAAATAAATATATTGTTTCATTTTGAAAAGACTCGAGTATGCAGGCATGAATCCGCAATTAGGCATACACAACAAGGTCGTGTGTTCGCGGCTTAAACTAATCTATAATAACATAATATGAGAATCATCAATAAAGTTTGTAAACAGTGATAATAAAAATAATAGATGAAGTATGAATAGCATGAAAAAGAAAAAGAAAATTGCTGAAAAATGCTAAAAATTTACAAATGATTTCTCGTAAAGCTGAAAAGAAACACAATGTAGTTTTTGTTTTAAATCTAAAAATTAATTAAATTGTTCACATCAAGTTTTTCAGTTCTATGGGTTGCTATATATTAAAAAAAGCAAATATTTTAGCTGCTATAAATTGCAACATTAATCAATACAATATATTATTTTATATTAAAGCTAAAAAACGATTGAGAAACATGGAAATATTTGTGTCCGTCTATTTGACAATAAACATATTTATTTTATTACAAAAATGTAATGTTGATCATCATTCCGAACCTTGCTAAAAAGTTATTCAAATAAATACGCTTAAATGAAACCAAATACCATTACAATAAATTTTATAGTAAGTCCTATAGTTCCGATTTTCATACATATACAGTGTAGCATTGAATATTCAATTGGTGAGAATGAAATTATTGAATCTATTAAGCTATAATATTGCTTAAATTAAATTTAAATAGTTAAACTTACTTGATCATCGCTTAAATAATTTGGTAGTCCACCAACAAATATCTTATGCACCGAATCAGGCACCACATTTGCGATGACACCCGGCATAACTAGGAAACAAATTGTAAAAAAGTTAACAACCGATTTGAAAATAAATAAAAAATATACATACAATCTATATTCAATCCTCCAGGTGTATCCGTTATGCCAGGTATCGGTTGATAGTCGTGTGGACGACGTACTTTTAAAACTTGTGCCTTAAAATTAAGTCCGTCAAATGACATTGCTTGAGTCGTTTCGTCGATTGAACGAAATTCAAGAAAAGCAAAATTTTTGTCTAAATTTATTTGACATGCAAGCACTGGGCTTCCCACTGCTTGTGCAAAACCCGACAAATGCATGTGCCGATTAAAAAAGTCTATCATTTCCTCTTCCGTTACGCCGAACGGTATGTTGCCTACATACAAGCGGCGTGCCTGGCGAGTTATTGTTGAACCAACGACAGGAACAGCAGCTTGAGGTGTGTCTGGTACTGTTGATGCAGGAATTTGTCCAGATGCCTGCATTGCTTTATATTGCTGTGGAGTGATGTGTTCAAAACCCGGTGGTGGAACATCCCAATATAGTGACGGTGTACGACGAAAAGAATGCTGTTTAAGTTTTACCGGACGTTCACTATGTCGTGAACGAGATTTGTGGCGGCGTCGCTTCCGTTCTATTGGAAGAAGTTATTGTTACATTAAAATACAAATATGTAAAATCTTATTACATACATATAGAAACGCAAGGGTTAATTTATTATTATAATTGACTATATAGACATAATTTATATATATACATATGTAATGTTATTCCAAAAAAACAGTTTTATTACATTACATACCTTCACGCGGCATCTGTATCCAAAATCAACCAAAAAAAACAATAGAAAATCAGCTAAGTTTGGATTTTGGATTGAATTTTAAATAATTTCAACACAAGCAATGAAAACAGTCAGTTTAGACAAATGTCACTTTCATGAATGTAATAGATTATTAAATTTTGTGACAATAGTACAAAATACATTAAGATAGTGATGTTGAGCTGAAATAATTCAGTAACCACTTAATCATACAATACGTTTCTGAAGTTATTTTCTTTATTATAATTTTTGATGAATGCTTTTACGTATATATTATTGTCGATTTATGTAATTAAAATTTTTATTTTAAATATTAATTGTAAGAGCCT